TTTTTTTTTTTGGCTTCAGGTTTTTGGCAAAGCAGCACAGTGACATTGTGACGGTGGGACTGGCTGAGGGGGGCCCCCTCCCCGCTGTAAACGCCCCCTGCAGCGGGCAGGAGGTGGCCTTCAAAAGGGAGGTGAGAGCTGGCGACGCCTGGCCTGCATCCTCCCTGCCCCGCGGCTGTCGGGGGGCTCAGCTGACCGCAATCTTCTTTTCTTCCAGGAAGTGGGGGAAATGGTGCTTGGGGACGCCGTCGGCCGCGCCGGGCTTCTCCCCGTCGGCGCCCAGAGCCGCCTGCGAGCCATCCATCTTGGAGAGGGCCGGGTTGCTCGCCACGGAGCTGGCGCCCAGCGACACGGGCAGCGTGGGGATGCCGCCGCTCTGGATCACGGAGATCTCGTTGGTCTTCATGGCCAGGCCGCCGTGGAGCATGGTCGTGTACTGGTTCCACACCACGGGGTCCACGTTCACCGAGGGGGTCAGCACGTCCTTGGGAAACATCTCCGGGACCCTCTTGCCCTCCGCGCCTAACAGCGCCATGGTGTTCTCGATGGCCAGCTTCCTCCCCCGGCGCGCGGAGCTGTTGCTGGCCCCGTGGGTCATGTAGTGGACCTGCGGGGACAGGAACAGGGGTTTCCAACACAAACAGACCCGACGGCGGCGGCCTCGTCGGACGGACCGGGAGTCTGACCCGCGGGGGGCTGCACGGCCCCACCACCTGCTGCTGCTTGCTCCTCGGACCTGGGCCTGGTCTCCTTTCCCGGATTACTCTCCAGTCTGGCTTCCGGCATTTTCAAATCCCCTTCAGCTTCTCTAAAAACTGAAGGGTGGGCCAGCCCCAGGTTCCTCAATCAGGCTTGTCTCCCCATTCTCCTTCACTGACACCCCTGAGAAGTTAGGAGCTCTCACCCATTGTTCTTAGTCATGGGGAACAGCTGCCCAGATGTCTCAGGCGACCGCTGTAACACTCACAAGTAAACCCCGGGACAACCCAAGTTGTGGCAACTGAGGCTCCCCAATCCTGGGCAGCCGAGGCGCCCAGGGCTGGGCAGCGTGAAGCTCTGAATTTCTAAAAGCCTGTGTTAGAGATGGTGACTGGCCCGAACCCCTCACCAACTGGACCAATGCAGTTTCAAAGGACACCGGTTTTTATAATAGTAAGTGTCTGATACTTCCGAGATACGTCCTCCAGTTCCAATTCGAGATGAAGTCAACATTTCGGCCAAACTACAAAGGTTCGACTAGTTAGGTTGTCAGAGAAGCAGAGAAAGACTGGGAGACAAAAACAAAACCTGAAGGGCAGGCAGGGACACAGTCCCCTCTTGGCAACCTGCACTCTCGCTCAGACCACTCGACCCTCACACTTGCGGCTCCTCCCACCCTCGACCCAAAAACCCAGGGGGAGCCTACTCGGGCATGTAGGTCACGTCTCCGGACATGCCTGGGTGCTCAGTGTGGTCAACAGGGCTGGAGAACCCAGGGGCTTCTGCTAATCTCTAGTGGCAATGTATTTGTATAGCTAAGAAAGGGGGTGCTCTATAATCTGGGGTGCAAGACAAAGCCAGGTCCCACTATTGCTTCATCTCTCTATTATATCTTTTCCCAACTCATTTATGTCAGCCTAGCTTGGTAGCAAGAGAAACCAATAATACAGAGGGTGGGTGGTCATCAAATCCGGACCTGCTGACCAGAGTTCATGACTCAGTACTGCAGTGAATGCCATCTTCGTCCCCCAGGCTATTCCGTGCAGCTGCTGAACTAGTCACAGAAACCCGTCTGCCCGGCACGGGGAAGAGCAAACCACCCAGACTGGACTTCACACGGCGAGAGGAGCACACGGCAGCCCGCGCACCTACTCCTGGACACCACCTTATAAAATCCATCAACCTTTTGTGATTCAGATTAAAAACCAACTGGTTATAGGCACTGACTGCAAGAAGCACCCCTATTTCAGAGATGTGACTTGCGAGGAAATGCACTTTAAAGAATGTTTTGAGTGGCCCTCCCCGGTGGCACAGCGGGTTAAAGCGCAGCACTGAGAAGCAAAAGCCACTTCCGCATGAGTTCGATCCCTGCCCGTCCCGAAGGAGATCCACATGGCGCGGCAGACCTCTCCTGACCCGCCTGCTGCTCCCCTCAGCAGTGTGCTTCGTCGGATCTGCCTGTTCTGCTCCCCACTCTGTCTCTGGTGAAGCCTCTCGCCGCCCCTGAGCCTCTGGCCTGTACCCCAGTTCTGTATATACAAATAAATCTTTTAAAAAAAAAAAAGAATGTTTTGAGCGCTGAAAGAGTGAGGGATGACGGCAGCCCCTCCACCTCATCACAGAAGGAAAACACAGAGAGATGCCACCCACCCCCAGCACCCAGCCCTGCTGCAACCTGCACCCACCTTCAAGTTGCCTTTGGTGGTGAATGCTCGCCCACATATGCTGCAGACAAAGGGCTTCTCCCCGGTATGAGTCCGCTCGTGAATCTGGAGCGCGCTGGCAGACGAGAAGTTCTTGCCGCAACGCAGACAGCCATGCTGCTTGGCCTGGCGGCGGGGCTGGGTGGTCAGCAGAGGCGTCACGCCCGGGGACACACTGGCGGGTCCCACGAAGGAGCCAGGGACCTCCACCTTGACATAGGTGGGCTGGGCTCGGATAAATGCCGACGGCAGACTGGTCCGACCTGGCAGGTACAGAAAACAAACCCAACCTTTATCCCCGGCACTCATCCCTCCCTCAGACCCAAGAAGAACCTGAAACCACTCGTGAATGCTGAGGGCCTGCTCAGGGCTCTCGGGAAATATCCATCTGTGCAAGGAGCGGCCCAGACCCTCCAAAAGGTGCACCGTTTTGATGTCAAGGTCAGAGCGTCACAGAAACACTTAGGATTCAAGGTCAAGGTATGCAGATTCAAGTTTAAGGTATGCAGATGCCACCTTTATTTCTCTTACGCAGCTGTTTCTCCCCCTCTACCCCAATTTACCATGAGGGACACCAGCAGGTACCTCACCAGTTACGTCTGGGTGGACTCCAGATTCTCCAGCCCCGCCCCCCCCCCTCCGTGCCCCCCCCCATTATCATGACACCAGACAGCAGGACCTCGGAGTCAGGGAACCACAGACCAGGGCCAAAGGCAGATTTCCTCGCTCAGACATCCTTCCACTGGAGCGTTTACTTAAGGTGACCAGTCTGCCCCGGGGAGGCGCCCAACAGAACACAAAAACAAGCTAACAACACAACACCTGCTGTCCACAGCCAACTGCGTTATTAACCATCAGGCAGACAAGCAGGCCGTGGCTAGGCCAGAGGGCCGCGACCTCCCTCCATCCGGACACCCAGAGAGGCTACGGGCCCTGCTCTTTACACGGGGTCCTCTCCAGTGGGAAGATGGCCCCAGGCTCCTTGGCAGGCCCTTGTGCCCACAATGGACAGTAAGTGAAATCCAAAGGCCCATCACCTTCCAAGTCAGGGCGGCTGCTCTCGGCACCCTCCGCCTTGCCGCCGGCATCGGGAGACCTGGACTTGACGCTTTCCGCCTGGCTGTTGGCCGGCGAGGGCGCCTGGAAGGACGCGGTCTCCAGGGCGTCTGGACTTCGGCCCTGACACTCCTGGTCCCCCGCCACGGAGGGCGACGAGTCGTTGGTCGGGGCGTCGCTCTCCGCCGAGCCGTTCTCCCGGCTGCTCTGCCGCCGCAGGGTGAGAGGAGCAGGACCCGCCCTGCCGGGGGCCTCCGGCGGGGCCACCACAGCGAACCCCAGCGGGGGCGACGCCGCGTGGGCGCAGGCCAGAGGTGCGGGGGCCGAGGAGGCGCCCCCGGCGGGCTCCTGGGCGCCGACGTCGTCGACGTCGGTGCTCTCGCCGGCGTGGTCGTGGCCCACGGGCCCCGGGCCGCCATTCTCGCCGACCACCGCTGGCTCGGGACCCATGAAGTCGCAGGGGCGCTCGGGCAGGGGCGTGTTGGGGATCTGGCCGCCCATGTGCATCCGTATGTGCTGCTGCAGCATGACGGCGTTGGTGAACTTCTTCTGGCAGATGGGGCACGAGTGCTGCGTCTTCACGCATGCGCTGCTGCGGTGCACCCCGAGGTGCGTCTTCAGGTTGCCCTTGGTGGAGAAGGCCCGGCCGCAGACCTTGCACTGGAACGGCCTCTCCCCGGTGTGGGTTCGGTAATGCATTTTGAGGGAGCTCTGGCAGCTCAAGACTCGGTGGCAGATGAGACACTCGTTGGGGTCGGTGGTGGCCTTGTCGATGTTCTCCACCAGCTGCTGCAGCTTCAGGGTCTCTGACCCTGGCTCGGGGGTCCCGCTCCCTGGGAAGCCACAACCCCTCGGGGAGCTGTGCTTTGGCCCCGCCCCGCAGAGTAGGGCTGCGCCCTCGCTTTCTGGAGGCGGCCCCAGCTGCAGGTCCCCGGGGGGCGGGCCACCCGTGAGGTCCTTGGGGTGGGCTCCCGAAGAGAGATTCTGAGGTAGCCCTGCATGGGGGGGACCTGTCACGAGGACAGGTTTGCTGTCGAGACAGAGACTCGACTCATCGACTGGGACAGGGAAGGCGCGGGCAGGCGACAGGCCATTGCCTGCTGTGGTTTTGTCGTGGAACTCGGCAAACAGCTGGGGGTTTGCCTTCACCTGGGGGTGTCGATGAAAGTGCACCTTGAGGTTGCCCTTGGTGGTGAAACGGTGGCCACAGACCGAGCACACGAAAGGCCTCTCTCCGGTGTGGGAGCGGAGGTGAATCTGCAAGGAGCTATCAGTCCCGAAAACCTTGCTACAGTACTTACACTTGTGCTTGCAGAGGGAGAGCTCGTCTTTGGCTTTGACATCCACCAGGGAGATGTTCGGGGGCTTCCCTTTCCCTTTCTTGGCCGGGTCTAACGCCACGGTGGAGAAAGGGCCCTGGAAGAGCACTGAGCCTGGGGCCTGAGGTAGCAAAGCGCCCGGGAGGCGGGACACGACCCCGGGGAGCACCCGCGCCCCGTCGGCTTTCAGGGCGAAGGGGGTCAGCCCCGGGGACACAGAGTTGGTGGCGGGGAGGTTGGCGTGAGGTAGCCTGGCTGGTTTCAAGGCGTCCAGGGGCAGAGCCGGGCCTCCGGGCTTCTGGCTGAGCAAGGCCACGGCGGCAGAGACCTGCTGGGACACGTGTCCCCCCAGGGCCTTGAGGGCGTCGGCCCCCGCCACGCCGGCGTGCAGGGCGTGCGAGGCCCACGTGTTCACCTGGATGCGGATCTGCTCGGTCAGCTGGATCTGCTGCAGCTGCTGCTGCTGCAGACACAGGATCTGCTCCAGGACCCAGGGGATGCTGCTGGCGCCCGGCACGGGGGCGGGCAGCGTGTCCGCACCCCGCTGGTTGACGGCCACCTTGGTGCCCCGCAGCGCCTGCAGGGTGACGTTAGTGTTGGCCACTTTGCCTTTGGGTAAATAGCTCATGTCCTGGGGCGCGGGCGGCAGGGGGGTCTCCGTCTTCAGGTACACGGCGGGCTCGGCGCCCGGCTTCTCCTCCAGGGGGCTGTCCTCCCGGCCGGGGGCCTGGCTGGGGAAGTCCTCGCCGGGCGCCGGCCCCTCGCTGTCGCTCATGATGAGGACCGGCGGGTTTTTAGTGCAAGTTTTCTTGTGTTCCAAGAACTCGGAGAAGCTGAAGAGCTCCACACAGCATCTGTCACAGATGTGAGTCTCCTCCCGGCGAGGCCGCTTCAGTGCCGCCCTGTCCCCACCGGTCACGTCATCGCCATGTCCGGGGCGGCTCAGGGGAGGACCTGTGAAGAGAGACAGAGAGCTAAGAACTCGGCCCAGGAACGGACAGGGTAGGGGGGGTTGGAGAGTGGGGAAGAGCCCCAAAATCACGTGACAGGGGTCTTCATCACCTCTGTCCCCTCAGAGGGCATCAAGCGCTAATACTCAGTATGAGAACTTACTGGGAACAGGGCATCTGTGGGCATGACTGGGATGCCCCCGAGCCATGGTCTTACATCCTTAAAGAGAAAGGAGGCCCAAGGGGCTAAGAGCGCAGCACTATGAAGCTATTGCAGCCACTGCAGCACGGAATCTATCCTCGGCCAGGGAGGTGACCCACAGGGCACAGCAGACCTCTCCTGTCTCCCCGCTGCTCCCCTCAGCAGTGTACTTCAGTGGCTCTACCTGTTCTGCTCCCCAATCTCTGGTGAGTCCTCTCACCCCAATATGGCTGGCCTGTACCCCAGTTCTTGTATGCATAAATAAATCTTTTTTAAAAAGGAGAAAGGACTGGACTATGGTGATGGCACATGGGTGATCCGGTGATGGGAAACCCAAGGGGATTGCAACAGAGATAGGAAAATGCACAAAAACATGTAAAAATAAACTATTATAAATAATGGGATTAAAAAAAAAAAGAGGAGAAAGGAAACAGTGAGTAAGGCCGCCTGAAAATAAGGTGTTCAGGAGGCTGCAGGTGAGGGATTTGGGAGTCTGGGGTCGCTGAGAGCCACCCCTGCCGCCACCTAGAGCTTTCAGATATCTCACATCCAGATCCAGGAGAATTTGCTCGAGTCATCCAGGTTGTGGCAACTTGTCCGAAGATCCTAGGGAACCTACACTACTTATAAGCAGCCCCCTGGAGCTCTGCTCTTACACGGACGCAGATCCAGTGCACAAAATGCAGGGCAGCGCATTCACGCGCCAACGAAGCACCTCTGGAGACCGGCTCCGACCCGCTTGGTGACACCCACAAGGCCCAGCCAAAGTGGAGCCGCACAAAGCCTGCTGCAAGGGCTGAGCACACCCCAGGGCCAGCAATGAGGACACAGGGCCAAGTTCAAGTGCGACCCAGAGAACAGCACCTGTCCCACTTAAGATAGGAAGGTGAAGGAGACAGACAGCCCTGGAACTTTCTGGGTACAGAAATGGGCTATGCTGTGCTCAATACTGCTCCCCTGCACGGTGTGGGAGGCGAGGGGGGCACGAGGGTGACAGAAGTGAGGCCCAGGGCCCCTGCTGTTCTAGGTGCGCCTTCCTGTGTCCACACAGCCCCTTTACAGGTGAAAAGGGGCCTACGCATTAACGTGACTCGCCTATGTTGTTAGCACCATTGAAAATTAGGGATGGTGACTTCTGACATTAATGTGCCAAGTATTATTCTTACCAGCTCTACATATACTTATACATACAAGAACCGGGGTACAGGCTAGGTGGGGGAAGGGAGGAGAGGATTCACCAGAGACAGAATGGGTTGCAGAACAGGCAGCTCTACTGAGATCCACTGCTGAAGGGAGCAGCGGGAGAAAGGCATGGTCTGCTGTGCCCTGTGGGTCACTCCCTGGCCAGGGGATCGAACTCGTGCTGCAGTGGCTGCTGATAGCTTCATAGGGCTGCGCTTTAACCTATCCTACCACACCAAGGAGGGTTCATGCATATGCTGTTAATAACACCTCTGAGGCAGGGGACTTTTCCTGTGGACAGAGAGGGATGACGCAGAACCTGTATTAAATAAGCCAGGGACGCAGTGTCTACAGCCTCCACTTGAACTCTACCTATACTTCCCACCAGAGTTATTGTTTCTCCGGTAAGACTGCAACTATCTTTCCTCCCACAGTGTGGGAGGAGGGGGGAGCCAGGAAAGGCTGGGGGAGGCTGTGGGGAGGGGGTGGGGGAGAAACTAGAACACTGTTTGAAGAAGTGAAGCCCCTGCTGTTTCCAGGTAGAGTTCAGTAGGTAGATACTTCCTTCTCACCACACACAGGACTGTATAAGTGGCCCTGTTAAGAATCAAGGTACAATCAATTCCCAGAACTCTTAAAACAGGAAGTTATCTGTGTAAGACTTCCCCAAGTCTTGAACCACACCCTGCCAGTAGTGGTGGTCAGCCTCAACTCTTTCTGGAAAAGCAATTCTGGCAACTATGTGTCAAGACCAAGAAAAAAGTTTCTCTTAGAGGGAAATACACTGGCTGGCAGGTGCACCTAAAGGCAGCTGATTCAGCCATGCCTGTCAGGCAGAAGCTCTGGGCAAGTTCCTTTGACCCAGCAATTCCTTTGTGTTAGGAATTTATTCTCTGTAACACAGGATACATTTATTGTACTAACAAACAGCAAAACTAAAATAGGACTCACTCTGGTCCAGCAGTAAAGTTCCGATCAAATAAATTAGGGTCAGGAAAAAGATAAATACTCCAAAAATAGACCTTTATTTTATGCCAAGAACAGATGCAGAAAATTTATGAAGAGGAGGGGAAAAAGGGTAGAGAACAGGATGTATATATAACGTGCTCCCTTTTCTGTGTTCGCAGATAAAGATATAGATATGTGCACGGAAAATTTCTGAAATTAGAAACTTACTGTTCTTTACCTCCTGGAGAGTGGGGGGAAGGAGGGACTATCAGGAAGACAAACTTTAAAGGGAATACATTTTTGCACTTTATTTAGATTCTCTTTATTAGCATGTTTATACCCTTTATCTCAATCACAGTACTTCTAGAAATCTCTAATCAAGTCCATGCAAAGATGCAAATTCTTTGTAAGGTCCAAAAGCAAAGTCACCACCCTCCTCCCACAAACAGCAAACTCAAGATTGACTCATTCACAGCGCAGCCACAAACAAGGTTTTGTTTTTTCAGTTTGCAGATGTGGAAACTGAGGCTCAGAAATAATTTAAAATGACACGCCTTAATTGACTATCAGATTTGTTACCCACAGTCCAAAAATACCACATACAAGATATTGAGAACCACACTCGCAAAACTATTATTATATTGTTCTGTTTTATTTTACGGTTAAGATATCACTGCTCGTCTCTTACTGTGTCTTAGCTATAAATTAAACTTCATCATTGGTGCATTTATTTAGGGAAAAAACTCCACAGCTCATATGCATGGATGGGCGGGTGCTTGCTATGGAGTGAGGGGAGGTTAGGGGTGGGGAGATCTTCAAATGTGCCCCCACAGAGTAGGGGGAATAACTACACAAATTAGTGATCCAATTTATGTTTCTACAGCAGACTTTCTCACCGTAACCCCATGTTACCCCTTTGTGGAGGTCACTTATAATTTTTCTCCCCTGATCACCCCCCACCACGTAACCTTAATACCAAAATATCCATCTACTGTCTGTTTATGCTCTATGATCTTTTACAAGCTACTGGAATATCAATAACTGTTCTACCCCTCCCCCAAACAGTTCTCATTCCCTGGGGGTCAATATGCCCTCACTGAAAAAACCAGTTGTAAAGCAGAAATTCTTAAACTGGATTCCATGAAATTAGATAGGAAACACCTTTATTTTCACTAACCCCAGCTACCACTGAACATTCCTTTCAGTGGCTTAGAAGTTCTGTCTGCAGGGTCTTCAAAGAAGTACATGTTACCTTATCACGTGTTTTCATGTTAATTTTAACGCAATTTTATTTCCTGGCTATGGTATTTTCCCCCCTGCACTTAAATACACGCTGTTGAGGAGGTCGATAACACAAGAAAGGTTAAGCTCCCAGCACTAGAAGGTTCCAACAGTGATTTACAACCTGAATACCAGCTTGCCTTCACTGTATACACAAACTCTCCTCTTCTGTGGCCTCCAAGCAATACCGAAACATCCCACTTGAGTCTTAAAACAGCGGCAGCTCTGTTTGCTCCTGCAGTAAAAAGTCCTCCTACATCCAGACCACCAATGGCAAATACTAAAGCTCTATTTGCCAAAGAGTAAGAGGACTCTGTTATGAACAATTGCTGGGTATGCTTAAGTTAACCCTTCCCAAAAGCAAAAAAGCAAAGTTCAGGGGGATTACAAGGTAACTGGTTCTTCCATCCTCCACCCCACCCCCACTCCGAATTTTAGGAATGTTATCTCTCAGCATCTAGTTATCCAATAAGTTGGAAGAATGCAGTAAACCCAGCAGGGGTCTTAGATTCAATCACTGCCAAATGGATAGAAAATGCTCTTAACCATTGTATGGGGAAGAAAGCTCAGCTATCTATCAGAGGCCAATCAAATTCTGGAGATTTGAAATGCTAAAATAAGAAAACCCGTGTATCCTGAGAAATGCATTAGGTTTCCAGCTTCTCTTTTACCCCCTTTCCCATATTAAAATAAAGATTTCAATTATTTTTGCACAGAAGAACTGGGCATATAAAAATAACTACAATAAGCAAAGTAGCCTTCCCTCCCCACACCCACAGGATAATTATGCCAAAAAAAAAAAAAGGAAATTGAGACGTCTTGAAGTATTAAACCAGTTACATCTGAATTCCGTAGTGAGAAACAAGCCTTTAACTCAACTCATAAATGGCATGTTAAAGTAGTAAATAAAAAAAAAGTTGTACTTAATTAAGAGCAAAGAGCTAAAAAATGGTTTCAAAAGGTCTTGGATCAAAATTCAGGGGCTGTGCTGACAAGGAAAATTAGTATTAAAACTCAGAGGAGGCTATACAACTGCTATTTACATTACAGAGCTCCATCCCATTTAGCAGGCACCGAGCTCATCTTTTAAGCAAATTTGTAATTCCATGCAGGGTGGAATTTGCTGCCTCCTTCTCCAGAGCCCCCTGGAACAAAGCCTGACATAGATATGAAATTCATTTGTTGGAATAAAAAAGAAATACAGAGGATGGCAGAATTGGAGATTAACTTCTACTTCTCACCTGGATTTAGAGGGTTTTCTTAATGATCTAGGTGCTTTAAAATTGTCAAAAGTAAAGGGTTAAGGGCGATGAAAAAAGGACCTTCTTGAACTATGTTGCCCATCATTTTTGCAGGGCAGCGGTGAGGCCAGAGACCCAAATGCAACTATTTCCAGTGGCGTCCCAGTCCTCCTAAAATCTAAGCCTGCAGCAAAGGCACATCTCAAAATTGAAAGGGAGGTTGAGATCATCAGTCTCACCATGAGCCCATCAAAAAGAACTCACAGTTAGGCTTCTAAGACCATAACACACCAGCCCCTTAAATAAAGGAACAAGTCATTTCCGCCAGGGTCTGCAGACTTTTAAGATGAGGGGGAAGAGAAAGAGAGAAAGGTAATGTTCTTGAGGTCAGTCAGGTGTCTAATACTCCGGTGTGGGCTGTAGCTGAAAACCAAAGAATAATCTCAATTGGCAACCCAGCAGATCTTGACAGGGTAAGGAAATACAAATTGAAACATGTTGTTATCTTGAACAAAATTAATTACAAGCCACATTCCCCTCAACACACCTAAATCTCTATAGTTAGAAAATCTAAGCAGGTTTCTTACTGACGATGTAGAAAGGAGGAACTCAGAAACTCAGAGAGACAGTAGGTTGCAAGGTTACACAGCTGAAATTCATACAAGCTGGTTCAAATGCGATCTCCAAAATCATATGCCTCCCCCCTTCATCTAACTTCCCAGGCACCAACTACCTCACCCCACGTTTAAAAAGAGGAAATGCTAACTATCTCCCTTATCTCCCATCTCCCAAGAAGACCTTGGGGGCCCGAACAACCAGTACCCATCAAGAAACCGGCACAGGCTGCTAAGATCAAGTAGCTTGATTGTGCAAATAATTATTTTCAAAGGAACAGAGGGTTTGTGGGCAGGTAAGTGCTTTTCTTTTGGAAACCCAGATCAAAAAAAAAAAAAAAAAACCCAAAGTTGGCCTACGACTTTAGCTAATGTAGAAAGAGTTCCCTCTCCCTCAATGCAAGAAGGCTCCCAGGCTCCCAAGTGCTGGTCTCAGAATCCTCACAAGCAGCAGGTCACTTAAGTTTAGTGACTGGGGCGCCGCGGTTATTTGAAACTAGGGAATCTTAATCTTGGATGGTTGTAATCCAGTTTAGTACAAAGGGCATTTGAAACTCTTTTGAGAAAATGCTAATTTTCCTGTATGTAGCTTGATTCCTCTGGCCACCTGCAGATTTTTTGATCTGCTAATTGATCACCAGACCTCATTTTCCTCAAATACTGAATTCTTTACAAGTGGGTCTCAACTTGGCTTTGCAAAATACCATTAAAAAAAAAAAGGCTTTATTTCAACACACACACACACACACACACACACACACACACACACATCCAGGCAGCTCAAGTGCAAAGTGCAACCATTAAAATGTACTGCTTGGAGAAACTTCCTTCTGTTCCTTGGTGGCAACTGGGGACTCCATAACATTTCAGGATCGAGGAATTCTTTCCAAGAATTCCAGACTCAGCAAAGAATGCCAAGCACAACCGAGGACGAGAAAGCGACTAGAGTTGATCGGGGGCAGGGGGAGCCCAACACCGACCAGACCCGACCCGACCCGGTCCACTACCGGGTCCCACCCATCAGGTGTGAGTCGGTACCTGGGAGGGGACCTGCCTCTCAGCAAAGGGCGCGGCTCCAGGCTGGGCCTCCAGGGGGCACCCGCGCGCAACTTCGCGGTCCGCTCCGACCAATAGATCAATAGAATCCCCTCCGGCCCCCCAGCAAATCGTGGAGGGAGCGCACCCGCAAGCCTGTGACCCTAACCCAGCTCCGGTTAACTGACTCCAAACTCCAGAGTTAATTTAAACAGCGCTTATTCGCACAACTGGCTCTCCCTAAAGGTGCCCAGCACTACCAAAAGCCCCACTTCGCTGCGCCCACCCAAAATGAAGGGGGAAGGGGAGGTCACAGCAGGACCAGGGGAGGGGTCAGAGCCAGGAGCTCGCCCCTCCTCTCCGGAGGAAGCGGGAGGGCGGAGGGTTAACCCTTTTGTTCCAGGTGGGCGAGGCAACGGGGCCTCTCCATGCTCTCCGCTCCCCCCTGCACAAAGAGAGGCCAACCTCCTGGGACCTCGAGTGCGCGCAGCCCTGACCATCAGACGCCCCAAAACGCACGGCTGCCCCTCGCCCACGCAGACCTCTTTAATGTGTCCTTAAAAAGTGTTATTTGGCGAGGAAATGAGGACCTCACTAGCCTATTAAAAATTGGGTAAATTTATTAGTCTCTTTCTCCACCCAAAGGAGAGGATTTAGTAGCCCAAAAGTCGCGACCGCCTCCCCCTTCGAGTTGTGACTCCCAGCATCTGGGGTTGCCGCGCACACCTCTAGCAGCGGCGAAGAAACGAGAAAGCAGCGGGGGAGATAAGGGGCCGTGCACAAGGCCCCGGAGATTAAAATGCTCCCGTTTACCGCCCCCCACCCCCAACGCTGAAAACTTATCAGGCGACAATTTGGCGGGCCAGGTCGGCGGGGGGACTGAGGGGTGTCTCCTCGCCCCTAAAATCCGGGTTAAGTGGTTCGGAGGCCGGGAACGTGCCGGGTCGCTCCGGGCCGGGCAGCGGCCCCGAACTCCTCTCCACAGGGGAGTTGCTGACGGCGGAAGCGTGGCCCGGGTCAGCCCCCGCCCGACCTCTCCCCTCGCGCCCCTACGGCGCGCTTTTGGAAAACCCCGAGGCCCACAAAAACAGGCACGCAAAAAGCCAGGCCGGTGGACCCCAGCGGGGCGGCCGAGCGCGCGCGACCTCGGCCCCGGGGGCCCGCACCCCTCGGGCTGGCCGCGGTTATTTTTAGGAAGTCGCCAACCAAAGATGGCCGGAGGTCAGGCCCCGAAAGGTTCGGGCGAAGATCGCGGGCGGCGAAGCCCAGGGAGAACAGGCGAAATCCCAAGAAGAAATTTAAAGAAAGGGCAATATTGTGTTCTTCTCCCCCACCTTTCGACTCTCCAATCCCCTCCGCAGCGCGGGTGGCCCGCACCCCAGCTCCTGGGGGTGGGGAGAGGTCGCGCCCCCTCCCCCAGGCCAGGCCGGGGAGGGGCGCGCGCAACAGATCACCCTCCCCCGGGGGGGTCTCTTCCTGGGGTGCGCCCCGTCTCCAGCCTCCCGGAAAAGCCCCAAGGAGTAAGCAAAAGGGTGGGGACCCCCGGGGTTTCTTTCTTTTAAAAGCGGCGCCAGAGAGGGAGGAGGGGGACCTCAGTACAAGTGGGGGGGGGGTTACTAGAGAGGGGAGTGGAACCAATTAAGAGAGGGGCAGAGGACAAGGAGAAGGAAACCTTTCAGGAACGAGAGGGACAGAGGAGAGGGTGGGGGCCAGTTTTACAATAAGGGGAGAGAGACCTGAAGGTGAAACTTGCACAAGAGGGGAGAAGAGATAAAAGTGTAAATTTTACAAGGGTGGGGGGGGGACCGAAAGAGGCTACTCTCTCCCCTGAAAGTAACTGAGCCCCCGGATCTTGGTTCCAGAGTTTCTGCTCTGGAAGCCGCGACTCCCCAAAGCCCGCGACTTCGGGGGTCCCGGGGGCGTCGGGAAGCTGCCCGCCCCGGGCGTGCGCCCCAGTCCCACTCACCCGGTTCCCCCGCCGCCGGCGCCGCTGGGGCCGCATCTGCAAACTCCGGGGCCGGCTGCTGCGGCTGCTGCTCGCCCTGGTCCTCCTCCGAGTTGATGTGTTGGGGTTTCGCCTGCTTGCGCCTCGACATGGTGCAAGCATCGGGGCGCCGGATTAGCCGCGGTGATTTGCCCACTCCACCACAAATTCCTGGAGTTGGAAAATTTACCCCCCTTCGGCCGGAACGCGCATGTCCCAGTAATTATTATTATCAATAATGCATTGCGATTTATCATGAGCCCTGACAGCTGATTGGCCTGGGTCCAAGACCTCAGAGATCATTTAAATAAGCCCTCATTGATCAGGGAGGGGCGAGGCATTCTGGGCTTTGTAGTCCGGCCCTGCATGCGACAAAGGCGTGTTCATCAGGGGAGCGCAACTAATTAGCATCCGCGCGCACATTGGCTGGATCCCGCACGGACTCAGAGGGCCACCGGCCCGGCTCCAGCCGTCCGAGCCCTTGGCCAGAAAAACAAAAATAATTTTACATATTCAAAACCTGGGGCTTTGGTAGAAGTTTCGGAATGAGCTTGTTGGACACTGTGCTCAAAACATTACTTTTGGAAGGTTAATATCCGCTCAAGCGCGGGGGGGGGTCTTTTCAGTGGCCGGTTTTCGCTGAAATTTTACATCCACCCGCAAAACAAAAACCAAACACACCCAAAACTGAGATGTGACCTGTGACCCTCCCGTCTTCTCTTGGTTGAAACGTTTAAATTTAATTTCGAGATGCTTGAAGAACGAAGAATGGTGGTTTACTCAACTACCCCGCCCCACCTTAAAATGACCTTCGAATTTCCAAAATTACAAATTATCCCCCTCACCACGATGTGTTCCCTTCAAATGATAAATAATAGCCACCCGGATTATAGGCACAGGAATTGCTTTGTTGTTACAATGAGATCTTGATTTTGGTTTGGGGCTTGCTTGCTTTCTTTTTAACTTTAAAGTGAGCTATACTAAACATAGAAAAGGCAGATGAAAAGCTGGTCAAGTCAGAGATAATATCAACATAGCAAGCAATTGCATTTTTCCCCCATGAGCCATTCATGTCAGATAACCTCCTATTTTATTACTGAGACAATGTTCTTAATCTCCCCCGGAATAGCAAAGGAAGGACACTGTCATAAAGTATCTGGGTGTTACTAATCATTATCGGAGTTTTTTGCAATGCAGACTTTATTATGGAAAAGGTGTATTACTCAAATGACTCTGACAGAGGATACTTGGAACGTTCTAAAGCTGCGTGTGTGATATTGCCGGTATATACAACTATACAGCAAATCTGATGGATGTAGTTACATTATCTACCTTCCACAATGCAAATGATAAAAATTGTTGAGTAAATGAATTCTCCCTCCATCTAGGTATTTGGTGTTTTCAGGACCCCCGGGCATTCCTCTTTATTTAGCATTTACTTCATTGTATGGGACTGTGCAAATATAAGCCCTTCCTCCACACTAGTGCATTGCATTCTCTTGATTATTCATCCAGTTCCCAGCGTGTAAGCTTTTCTTGTAAGCTCACTGGGAATGTAGGCAAAATAGAATGCTGGGCTCATGAAGAAACACACCTGAGTGTTTGGACAACCCAAGGCAGAAAAATAAATCAGCTTGATCATCTTTTTTGATATTCACGGCCATAAATAAAAGCTTATTGAAGGGAGGAAAGTTAACCTCCGATTTTTGAGACCTGTTTGAAAATGTTTTGCATTGTTTTATGGAATCCCCTACAGCGAAAAAGATAGAATTCCAACCAACAGCCAAAGTTGGAAAGGAAAGAATTTGGTTTGAAAATACATGGAAGCCACTGAGAATTCTCATACTGAGTAAAAAGACCAATTAACACCTGCCTTGTTGACTAATCTCCTTCTATTCCCAACACCTTTTCTGTGTAACAGGGAGCAGCAGGAGATGTAATTCATAAATCTAAATGAATGTACAGGAGGTTGACAGCTCAAGAAATATTTGTGGTTTAAGGAAAATTTCATTGACGATAGGGTTGTTTATTTCAGCTGGTGATACTTCAAATGTGTCAGCCATTCCTGCTTAGCACAGGGAGTAAAATTGTGCCCCCCTCCCAGTTTTAGGAAGTCCTTCATACCCCATGCCAGTCACAGTCACGTTGTGAGACAGACCTTTTCCACAGTAAAGGCCTTCCCTGGTGGCGCAAGGAGTTAACGTGCAGCACTACGAAGCTGTCTGTGGGATGGATGAACGCATCAAGGCGTGGTGGTGACTGGCTGAGCCCCGCATGTCAGCACCGGCCACACTCCCTGTCCTGTCTGCTTCCCTCTTCCCTTCCAGGCCATCCATGTTACCTGCCCACCCCGACGAGGACACTGAGGCCCTGGGAGGTGACTTAGTTAGGAAGTGACTGTGCTGGTGGTCAATCCCTAAACCCAGCTCCAATTTTACTCCTACTACAGGCCAGTACCTGCCTTCAAATTATAGATGACCTGGGCCAGATAGCACAGCAAGGAAAAATAAGGGTAACAGAAAACATGCTCCAGGAGGCCTGTGCAGGGTCTGAGGCAATGACTCCTACGGATGAAAGCCAAAGGGAAGTTTTCTTCCAAGGAAAGATTCCGAGAACACGGTATGGGGAGCAGGGCTGGAACGTTCAGTCTACCTCCGACTCGGAGCTGCACGGCAGCGGCTTGCGAGCTACAGAAGTGAAGACAGAACAACGCGCTCATGGGACCAGTTGGGCTAGAAAGTAAGTCCCTCATCACAGGCAATTTTCCTGATTATTTAATATTCCTCAAACAACCAAAAGATGTGGGTGGAACCAGTGAAGGGGGGAAAAGGATCTTCAGAAAAGATGACTGATATTAACGTTTGTAATAACGCCTTTGTTAGTTTATCCAATCATTCTCACTGCTCCAGGCAGAAATTGTTGGGAAATTCACTTCTTGAATCTTTCAGAAAGAAATCTATGAATAATGACACTTTACTGTTGATAAGGACATTTGGGATACATAATCCCTTTTCATCCTCATCAAAGATCCTTTTTAACTCCCAGTCCATGGATGGGGGCAGAGCTCTAAAGTCCCTCAGCCCTTCGTGAGGACTTGTAACTCATGCGGGTTATGCGCTGGCTGGCTTTCCCCTGAAAAGCGCAGGCACCTGCAACTCAGACCTCCTGACGCTACGCAAACCCGCCACTGCGCTGTCCTCAGGGAACTTCCTTCTCTGCCACTCTGCCTCTTTCCATTGGCCTATAGATTTGAATTTTCATTTTGAAAACTCGCCTTCAGTCAGTCAAAACTAGGGCTTACCTATGAGAAGCCAGTTTGTTTTTTTACACCACAATTAAAATGTGTAATGTCAGGGCCCTCCCTGGTGGCGCAGGGGTTAAAGCGCAGCACTATGCACCTGTCTGTGGTCACTACAGCCTGAGTTCGATCCCCCGCCAGGGGGGTGACCCAAATGGCACAGCAGACCTCTCCTGTCCTGACCGCTGCTCCCCTCAGCAGTGTACTTTGTCCATCTGCCTGTTCTGCTCCCCACTCTGTCTCTGGAAATCCTCTCACCCCCCATACATATCACTGGTCTGTACCCCAGTTCTTGTATGCATAATTAAATAAATCTTTATAAAAGAAAAAGTGTAGTGGCAGATGTAATTGCATCTTGTCTTCTGCCATCACAGACACCTTCACCACGCTACCCCAGCACAGAAGTCACGTAAACAATAATGAACCAATCAATCCATGGCAAATCCCTTTGGGGACCTGAATATAGGATAAAGTGCTGAAAGGCAATTACAGCTGGCAAGAACATAAAACAATACGACTTTTCCTCCAAAAACGGAACACAGGATTACCATATGATCCAGCATTTCCATTTCTAACTGTATCTACCCAAAAGAACTGGAAGCAGGGAGATGAAGAGACATTTGAACACCCAAAAGAACATTGCTTTTTGCTGCTCCCACTGCCAGCGTGAACCCAGGGGCTCAATTCAGATGGCATTTGTGGTAGGACATGGTGACCAGTTCCTCTCTCTTCTTGCTCTCTAGGGTCTCCCTTTGCTCATTTCCCTTGTAATAAACCTTTTAGTAACCTTTCAAAAAATAAATAGCGTTATTCATAACAGCCAAAAGGTGGAAACCACCAAGTGTCCATCAACAAATGGATAAACAAAATGTGCTGTGCACTGTGAGGGAATATTACTTAGCCTTTAAAAGGAAAGAACTCAGGCCTCCTTGATGACACAGGGGTTAAAAACACGGTGTCATTGGGCCCTCCCTGGTGGCACAGCGGGTTAAAGCACAGCACTAAGAAGCTAAAGCCACTTCAGTATGAGTTCGATCCCCGCCTGCCCCGGAGGAGATCCACATGGCGTGGCAGACCTCTCCTGACCCGCCCGCTGCTCCCCTCAGCAGTGTACTTCGTCAATCTGCCTGTTCTGCTCCCCACTCTGTCTCTGGTGAATCCTCTCACCCTCCGCATCTCTGGCCTGTACCCCAGCTCTGTATAAATAAATAAATCTTAAAAAAAAAAAAAAAACATGGCATCATCATGCAGGAATCCCAAGCTGGCCAGAGAGCTGACTCACAGGGCACAGCAGACCTCTCCTGCCTCCCCGCAGCTCCCCTCAGCAGTGGATTTCAGGAGACCTTCCTGTTCTGCTCCCCACTCTGTCTCTGGTGAGTCCTCTTACCCCATCCCACTTCTGGCCTACACCCCAGTTCTTGTATGCATAAATAAATACATCTTCAAAAAAAAAATCATTAAGGAGAGAAATGCTGACACATGGTAAACACCAAGATAGCCTCATGCTAACGAAGCCAACCAGTTGCAAAAAAACGAAATGCTGCACTTAAGGAGGGGCCAGAGTGGCCAGAGTGGTCAGATTGGCTGGACAGAGTTTAGAATGGAAGGGGGGGGGCAGTTTCGTTGTTGCATGGGAATAGTGTGTTGCACAGGTTCCAGAGGGTTGTAGAGTTTGCCCACAGTAGGAATGGACTAAACCAGTGACCATAACCAGATAGTTAGAATGTAACACTTTATGTTCTGCTGTCCTTTACACATGGCCGGGGGGTGGTATAACTTCACTAACGATCATCAAACTGTACTCTACAGAGGGC